GGAAATTTGATGGAGTACCTCAAAGTTTGATGCAAAAACGCATGATAGCACCGGCTCGCCTGGTGCTTTCCAGCCTGGTTTTTACATGTTATTCATCACCCATTACTTATGTTTTCGCGAAATTTTCTTTTTTCCTTCCTTTAATGTTATTTTAAAAATCATACTTCATTCCATCACGTAACTATTGTTTAAATGCATTGCTTTCGGACACCTCCAATTTCGTTCAAAGAAGACAACTTTCCGCTTTTAGATTGGCTTCATATGGACACCTGGACCCTGTGCTGTTTCGTATTTGTGACAACTAGTGCCTCTTCCACTCTTCCCCACTTTGGTCCGCCATCGACAGCGAAACGAAATGAAAGCTATCTGCGAAGTGAAAGCGGTAACCGACCGCAAATTGCTTTTTTTTCGCGATCCACTGATCACTATCCAGCGGTTACCGAATATGTGGATCATCACTGGAAGCCGTCGGGTGCATCGTGAACATGGCAATCCAGTTGCGCGTCGATTATTCAGGTATACGCACTGAGAGCCGTTCTGCCTGATTTTTCTTCAAATTCAACAAAAGAAGGGCCTCTTTTATTGAATCTGACTGCTTTTTGTGCTTTACTAGGGAATTTCATGGACTCATCCCTCGTTCCATACCCCCAGTCCCTTCTTAACTAATTACAATCTCCGCGCTTTAAGGGCTTTTTCTGATACTTTGACATGCTGCTTTCCTGCAGTCATTAAACTATACCGTGTTTCAAGGTTCAGACGAACAAGATGGAATGCATAACTGGCGAAAATGACGAGTGGGCACACTGGATTATGCATTTAATGGAAACTTAGTTAACACTGCGCCGTCGCACGCAGGAACCCATATTTATTATCACCGGACGTGAAGATGATGTGCGCCGCGCTTTGCGTATGGTTAAAGGTATGACAAATGGAGACTGTACTTCGGATGGTTCGCGTCTCGATCCGCTTCGGAAGAGGGATTATGCAATCGTAAGTGAGCTGAATTTTTTTCCAGTGCTTTCTTTCCCTGCCTTTTACATGGCTTGATCTTCCATATTGTTTATTTCGTTTAATCTTTAATAAAGTACATGTTTTCAATACGTAGTTGTGAGGTATTACGGGGTCGTTGTGAGTAGGCAAGATGAAGCGCGAAGCGTTGGTTTGTTGTAATAATAAGTTTATCTAAACTTGAGTAAAAAAGAACTTGAATGATATGACAATTAAGAAAAAACCTGATCGAAGACCGATAAACCAGGTGGGAGACGAACTGGGGCCGTAGATGGTGAAGAAGAATTTATGTTCTGGAAGTTGTGTTGAGCCGGGAGTGGAGGTGTCGTTCTGCGTCGAAGTCCCCGTGCTGCTTTCGTCGATTTCCGAAAAGACC